AAGATTTATGAACTTCTTTTCAATACGATGATTGAAGAATGGAAAGAAACGATTTCATATATTAAATATTTTAATCATTGTAAAATTTCATTATGTACTTATTCCTATACATCGAAATTCAATATTATTTATATGATAACAACATTGATTAGTTTTGCAGGAGGATTAACAGAAGTTTTTCGTTTTCTTATTCCACGAATCGTCAAATTTATTCGACGTCGATTCGTATCTCCTGCAACGTTAGTTAATGAATCTCGTAAGTAAAATAGATGAAGAATGTATATTCAGTTTTATTTCTGTACTTTCATAGGAATTACCATTCGATCTTTGATAGAACGTATTCGTACATTTAATTATTTCTCAAAACCATCATCAACCGAAATAGAAATTAAACAACAAATAATAGCTACTCGACTTTTCCTATTACTTTTAATAATATTATTTGTTATTTTAATCTCATACTACAGCACTGTAAATATTAATATTCTTTATGAAATCAAATCACCAACATATGAAAAATTCATTAAACTAGTTGCTGATCAACATTCTAATCCATCATTTAGTTGTCCTTGTTCGACACTAGCAATTATGAATAACAAATTTATTACAGTCGATTATATTTTACATTCATTCTGTAATTCCCATTCTCTTCAAGATGCATTAATAGCCTACGAATTAAATTTAAAGTTTCACGCATATGATTTTCGAAATTTAGCATCTACATTATTTAGTTCTTTAAGTTTTCTATGTCTAGAATCCGATCAATATATCGTCCAGCGTATTACTTTATTTAATTCAACTTCATACATTGCCAATAAAGCACTTGCTCCAGAAACATTCGATTTAGAAACTAATAAAATTAATGAAGCATTTACTCAATCAACAACTCACTCTTTCGTAACTATGTTCACTCTTACTTCGATGATGACTCAAAATAATATGCTTGTAAATAGTAAAATGACAAATTTTGGGCTGAATTTTTTGAAAACTAACTCATCATACAGTGTTGGAGTTTCTCCTATTTCATATATAATGTATTCTAAAAATAATACTATACGATGTGATTGCTTACTTTTTACACAATGTTATATGCCGTTATCGATTTATTTAAATACTAATATTCAAAGTTGGTACATGGACATACCTGGATTTTATAGAGGTTGTACGTTACTAGACAGTATGCGTTACTCTACTTTAACTTGTCTATTTAATGAATCGTGTCTTAATATAATGACTTTTTGGCTTAATATATCATATATTAATGTTCTAGATAGTAATAATCTAAAACATTTTAAATCTAATTCAACCATTGCAGAAATTATGGATAGGATATTCATTGATCGATGGAATATTTCTACCTCTCATCAAGCTTTCTATAAACAATGTAATCCTGAAAAATGTATATATACATTATTTCAACGTAATTCATTATTAAATATAGTGACAATAGTCTTTGGTCTTATTAGTGGTCTTACGAAGATCTTACAAATTATTGTTCCATTTCTTGTTAAATGTGTATTTGCAATATATTCTCGTTGTTTTAATCGTAGAAATCGAGATACATCTGTAAGATCTGTTTCTTCAAATTGCTCTTGTCAAATGATTATTAATCGAATACGAAAACTTAACTTTTATTCTTCGAACAATTCAACTATCGAAAATGAATATGAAATTCGAAGTCAAATAATTGCCACTCGTATTTTATCAATTCTTCTTATAATTCTAATTATTATTCTTACTATATATTCATCACAAACTTCAGTAACAAAAATTGTAATAGTTAGTAATCCTTCAATTGAAAAATATAATTCGCTCTATCGAACACATTCAGAAACATTGAGTTGTCCTTGTACAAATATTATCATTCCAAGACAAATCTTTCTTATTCTACAACCTACTTTTCATCAAGTTTGTCGAAGTAATTTTATCGATCCTCTATGGTCTCATGGACTTTTACGTACTAGTAGAATTCAAGGTTTACCTTTATACGATTTTCGTATTTATGGAGGCTTCATTTTTCGAACAATTGCATCATTATGTGAATTATCACTTACGACAATTAATAATGAACTTGAAGATTTTAATCGATCATTATTTACTACTACTCATGCAATTCCAAAGCAAATACTTGATAAACAAGGGCAATCTCTTATTGATCTTTTTATATCTACAAATGAAAATACATTCTTTAGTTCAATTCAAATTAATAACGATATGACACATAGAAATGGTCTTATATCAGGCTTCGCATTGTCAACACATTTTAGGTGGCAAAAAATAGATGGAATATACTGGAAGCTAGTAAAAACATCCGACAATTTTGGTGATAATACATCTGTTTGTCTTTGTCATAGTGATCCAACGTGCAGACGACAAGCATTTCTTTTGAGTATTCAGACAAATATTACTATTAGATATATTCCAGGATTTTTTATCGGTTGCTACACTGTTGGAGCTGCATTAAAATCAAATCTTGCTGTTTTTTACAATCAAACGTGGATAGATATGTTTCGTAAAATAATTAATTTTGATTATTTTAATCCAATGTCTATTCAAACAATAGCATTAAATACATCTCGGAACAGTCTATTTAATACTAATGCATCAATTGAAGTCATAGCAAAGAAGATGATGATTGAACAATGGCATACTCATGTTAATTATTCGGCCTATTATGAGCATTGTCAACCTAAAGAGTGTAAATATACCTATATTGTCAAATATGATATAAATTATATAATTACTATACTCATCAGTTTGGTTGGTAGTTTTGCAACTGTTCTTCAATGGATTACACTTCCCATAATCAAGTTAATTCGACGATATTGCTTAAAACGACGTCGTCAAACGGCAGTGCAAATAATATCCATACAAGACTAAAACTTCATTTGTTTCTATTCAAGCTCTGATTTCGATATATTTAAATTGATATTCACTTATCTATACTGAATTATGAAGAAACTACCTATAGTTACTATTCAGTAATGTACTCTTAAGATTAAACTTATAAATTATAATTCTCATCGCATAGAATAAATCATTATGAAAAGATACATTTTAAGTATACATGTCATATTTATTTCTCTTTCACAGATATATGATAACTTTTATTTTTCGCTGCAAAACTTCATTCTAACGAATATTACGATTTTTCCAGTAGCTTACAGGCCGTTCATTGATAAGAATATTATATAATATATACTTAACAGATAATAAGTAATTCGTCTCAAATTTAACTTATAAATGTGTTAAATAACAGGTTTTCATCATTTATATTGTTAATTTTTTGTAGTTAGTATATATAGTAAAAGATATTACTTTTCAAGAGAAATACAAGTTTCTAATCAGCCATGAATATCGTTCACATTACAAGTACTGAGGATAACAATGTAGATATAACTATGAATGAAGATATTATATTCATTTCTTATTCAAATCTATACCTCTTGTGTATAGTTTATGTATAAATATTATAATTGTTTCTCAATGATATCTACATCCACTCTCAAGATGTATTGTATGCTTTGAAAAACTACTCCTTTATTTCAGTAATATTTAATTTTAGATAGTGCAATAACGAGCATTAGAAGGAGCTGGAGCAACAAGCCCATAGACAAAGAAACCATCACAGTTGGTCATAGGAATCTTCACAGGCCAAATACAGCTCATTCCAAGCATATTGAAACAAGCCGTTTGGGTCACTGTCTCACCGATTTCTGGATCTTGTGGATGTTTTAACCATCCAGCACCTTCTGATCCGCAACGATTAGATGGAACAGTAGATTCAGCAATACGAGTACCCGCATCACCTTCAAATCGAACCCAAGTGCGTGTTTTACTGAAATATGTATTATCAGTTTCAGCAAGAATATGTGTGTTAGTTGTTCGACGAGTACCATCCGTAACTGACGTGTAGTTCAAGCATTGTTGAGGAAGAGAACTTGCTGTTGTGACAGTTGCTAGAATAAAGTAAAACAATTTAGATAAACATAGAATGGATACTATTCCCATGAAATTAATTTTTTCGTCTCGATCGACATTAACAGACCAATAGTGTTTTAGAAAAACTTTTGCCATATTGATTTCTCAAAAGACGAATGACGGATTATGTCAATTATTGCATATATTCACTTAAACTAATATTCGAACGATTCGTCAGACTGTAACTCACTTGATACAGTATCTGTTGATGCTATCGTTGGTGTTATTGTTGTTGATGGTTCCTCTACTAAAAGTAAATAATAGATTAAATTATTAATGACACTCCGATCATTTTCTAATGCAAAGAATGAATTTTCTTTGTTTTTTATTTGATACACAAGAAACAATTAGAAATATTTACCATTCCAAGTGCATGTTTGAATTGCTTGTGACCAAACTAAAGGTGATGGACAATTTTTTAGATAGTTGATGCCATTAGCACAATGCCAAAATGTACTACGATCAGTAGGATTTTCAAACATGCCATCATTCTCACATATAAACATACCATCGATACATTTTACGAGAGAAATAAGCATGTAAAAAGCTACGAGCTTTTGCATTTTCTTAGTACTTCTTTATTTTTCGAATAAGTGAAAATGAATTGAAGCAAATGTTCCGTTTAAATATCGCTTTACATTTTTTGATTCAAACTACTTTTGAGGCTTAAGTATACGTAATTAAATATCAATTGATATCACTTTTTTTTATATAGTAATCCTATCAATATTCTAATTTGATTTTGTTCTTAAAAGCTTTTCATTTATTCTAGAAGCTTCTACAGAAAATGAGTAAAAATATTTGTCTAGTATAATTTGTTATACAAAAGAAAAACAAAATATTGTTATTTATAAAGAAAAACGAATGGTAACATACGCTGAAATGATAAACGAGTGTATTTATTAAAAGATGAATATATAAAAAAAATGAACGTGGTAAACAGATGAAGAAAAATAGAAACTCTTTATATGTTCGATTTATTATACTTGTTTTGAAGTTTTATTTGTTCTTTCATTATCTCATTGATTTACAGATGTCTGAAACGGATGAACTTGACCTTGGTCTAGGAAAAATCTTCTTATACGTCCAATCCATTTTTTTAAATCTTTCTGTATTTCAGGTAATGAACCTATAATAACAAATGGATACAATTGGTTACCATAAACGGATATATATGTCAAATAATTATATTCAATATCAAGAAGAAATGTGGGTAACCATAAGACTTCAATAATAGCTACAAGCGTTGACGGAACACCAAAAATGAGAAAGAGAGATGAAATAAAAATAAGTTGAATAATCAAACGTCGATGACGGCGCCATTGAATAGGCTGTTGGCGACTAGCTTTTCTCCATATAAAACGAGTAAAAAGTGCCGTGTTAGAGATAACTATGATTAAAATTAAAAAACCGTAATTAAATAACCAATCAAATGTGATTAAACTTTGTATGTATGTATAGCAAGCTCCTCCACAATACAATACTGTATAATCCCATACATTTGTACATTGTGTGGAAAAAAAGATCATTATAATGTAAAAGATTTGTGGATAAATTATACAAATTAGACGTGGAATATAATGAAACATGATCAAACACCATTTTTTCTTCATCATTGCACTGTGAAAAATGAATAGATGTCTTTCTGCACAACACCATGCAGCAAGTATTAAAGAAGTAACAGATAGCGAATAAGAAAGCCAAATCGAAAAGAGACAGAAACTTGATGATTGATTCATTACAATATTCCATCGAAGGAAATATAGATAACAGGGTGTATCACCAATCTTCTCTATGAAACTATTTACAAGTAAACAGAAAATAACATGATTGTGTGGTGCATTAATAATAGCTTGTCGCCAACGACGAAAAAAATAAGTAAAAACCAAAATATCAGCCAACAATGATGGAACAATTGTACTCTGTAAAATAATGTATTTTATTAGATTAAGGCGTTCGATATCATCACTCATTATTGAGATGTTGTTAAATTGTGAAATAAAATAATATGATTGTATCTGCTTCTAAATGACAGTTACTTCGAGATATGTTTTTTAATTTATGGAATAGAAATAAAATGGTAATCTTTTTTCCATAATTTTTTCTTAATAAGTGTAGGCATTTTTTTCTAGATCGCATACGGCTACTGTTTGCTACATTTTTATAAGTATCAAAATATATTAAAATTATTGTATGTTGTACTTCGCGACCTATCTTATAATGACATTCAGCGCTTTTCATATATTCTTTCATGATAAAATAATTTCCAAGAAGAGCTAATATTTTAAATTTTATAAATCAGCTTTTAATGCTTCCATGGTGAAAACCATTTTAATTTACTGCGATTATTTATTACAAGTATATTTCAGATTATGGCTTTATAAAAAGATAATTATTTGTATAGAATATAATATGAAAAAAATGACAAAACTATGAAGCTTTTTATTCAAAGAGATTTGATTTTGTTAATTTCACCAGTTGACCGTTTTAGTTAATACAACAATATAATAATATTGCATTTTCTGGTAATAATTTTTCATTAACAATCAAATAGTACAACACAACAGTTGCACTCCTTGCCATACAATTTTTACAAAGAATAAAATTTTTTTGTTATTGGCATATCTTCGTGTATATGAAAAGCACTTGCTATGAAATAAATGCAAATAATAAAAAGATGTTTTATAAACGCTCGAATACAAAAGCTTTTCAGACATAATAGACGTTTTTTAATTAAAATATCTTTTCAACTACGTTTCTGCATAAATATAAAGAAGACAGATCGAAAAATGAACAAAAAAACATGATTTTTAATATATTTTTGAAGATAATCGTGAAATAGTATCATTTTCAACATATATTACATTTGAATGAGAGTGAACGATTGTATCATTTATGTTTTCTGATTGTATAAGTACACAACTCAAATATCTAGTATATTTATTAAGATTTCAAAAAAAAGTAGAAATATTATCTAATTGTATTCATTGGGCTTCTCTTATCCGCCTGTTCAATTGCTTCTAACATCATATCCCAAAATTGTTCGACTTTTTTAATTTTCATTACTACGAAACAATTTTTTTCTTTTCGTTGCATATCAAATACATCACAAATAGTTCTTCCTAGACAATATCCACCGGTTCGTTCAATATCAACATGCATTAATTGTTCTTCAAATAAATCTTTATTTGCCACGTAAGCTACTGCACATGGATCATGTAATGGCGGAAAATCAAATTGATATACATCTTTATAAGCAGTAGCAAAATAATGAAGTAAATAATCGAGAGTTGTTGAAAATGGAGAAACTATTGATCGAAGACGGTCACGAACTTGTTTAGTAGCGAAAACAGTATGTGTCACTTCTAATGGAACCATCACTAGACGAGGTACATGTGGTGATGAAAAAACAATATGAGCTGCATCTGGATCATTTAGTAAATTAAATTCTGCACTGGGTGTCGCATTTCCCATACCAATACTACCTCCCATAATAACAATTTCTGATAAAAATTTTTTGATCTAAATTATATCAAAGAAAATAATAATAATAATGAATTTTTTTGAAAATAAAATACTTGTGGAAAAACTTTAAGTAATAATGCAACATTAGTTAATGGTCCAATAGCAATTAAAGTAACTAGTCTTCCAACATCACGAATCTTTTTATAAATATTCCATAGATAATTTTCATCATAGTCATTTATTGACGATTGATATTCTGGATGTTCTGGAATATCAATATCACCTAGTCCTGTTTCTCCATGAATTTCACCACCTGTTATAATGTCTCGACAAAGTGGTTCATTACAACCACGTATTATTGGAATAGTAGTTGGTAGACCTGCTATATAAGCAACTGTATATGCATTTTTTGTTGTTTTATCAAGTGTTTGATTTCCATCAATAGTTGATATTCCAATAAGTTCAAGTGATGGATGATAAGCAGCTAATATAATGGCAAATGCATCATCATGTCCTGGATCACAATCAAGCCAAACTGCTTTTTTTGTTATATCGACCATGATAAACGTGAAAAGTATCAGTTTTCTTATAAAAAATAAAGGCGTTACATATGGCTTATATAGAACAAGTAATTGTTTTTCAATCGAAACAGAAGAACACGATAATAGTTTCGTACACACAATCAGTTGTATAGAGTAACATGATATCTGTATAAAGAAAACGATAGAAGTAAAAGTATAATATATATAGATAAACTACAATGTCCTTCTTTTGCTAAAAGAAAGTTTGAAGAGATTTTATTTCATTTCATAATGTAGATGTTTTTAAAATAAAGAAGATCTGTATGAAAACCTCTAGAATACTAGAAGTAATTTGTAGTTAGTATAACGGAAATGTTGTTGTTTATCCTTTATTGTATCATATAATTCACGAAAGACAACAAGATGAACAGGAGAAGAGAGGAAAGGGAATGAATCAATAGTTGCTGACTGACTTACAATACGTTAGCATCGCTATTTATAGATGCATGTAAAGAGAACAAAGAGAGAGGAAATGAAGAGAAAGAAAGAGATAAATGACGGACGAATAGGAATCCGTCACAGTTAGGTATAACTCATAAAGGGTATCGAATGTACACATTTATTTTAACTATTTGTAATCGTCTTTGTATTATCATCTATGTTTGTTCGTTTATTCTTTCGTTCTGCTTCTTAGTCATAGATTAAAAAAGTAAAGAAAAATTGCTCAACTATTAGAGTATTACAAGGAATTCTTTTTTTGTGTTACTTGTATCTTTTTTTGTAATAATTCATTCCAAATAGCTTTTTTTATTGTCGAGAGAAAGAGAATGAGATCTTTTGATTATGAAATGTGTGTGTGTGTGTGAGTGTAGATAAGGCACAAACAAATACTGATCTACTCACACCCACACCCTCAAAACACAAATACTAAAATATTCTCTTTGTATATATGTAGTACAGTTTGAAATATGTCGTTTTAATAGTCTATTATTGCTATTTGCTGCCCTCTATCTTATTTTTTTATGATTAGCGTTGAAGTCACCAGGATAAAATAAGAAAAGTAAAACTCGGTTTGTCATTCAATTTCTTGACAAAGACCTTGTGTATAGTAGAAAAAGATTATGATATTGACTCTACATTAAATCACCATGTTTTTTTCATCTACCGATTTAATACATCACTCAGAACAAAGAATTGATTACTATAATTTAATCCATATACATCATTTAACCACGAATTTATAAAATAAACTGTAACTTCTATATTTTCTTGTATAGGTAATGAAAGTTTGTTAATAAAATATCTAAAATTCTGATTTATTTCCTATATTCATAGCTGTGTTGAATATTAATCTAATTCTTATTTTTGTTCTTATGTAGTTATATTCCATAGTTTTCTATATCTATGCATAATAAGAAGAGATTTGATCGATATCATTAATACTAAAGAAATCAAGGGCAGAGTAAAAACAATATTTTGGACGTGATTCTAGGTACGATTTCAAGCGAAATTATAATTTTCTTATGATATAATTTTAAAGATTATGATGTTTATTAGTTAATTACGGTATAATCTATTAATAATCGACAATATGAGTTAACAGAAAGTTTGTTTCAAATATGTCAAAAAAGTAAAATGAGAACGTTTGAAATGTTAATATTTCCTCAGAATCGATCTTTGTATGAAGAAATAAAGAATAAACACATAGCACTTTATTTATTCTGTCATTGAAAACTTTATAAAAACTACATTTCTCTTTCCATTAAGTAGTTATCATCTTTTCCACAATTATTTTTATTTTTTCTTCCAGATGGTAGACAATACATCTACTCATACTCGAAAACCTGGCGGTAAATTTAACAAGAAATTCAACATTATTTCTATTATATTTTGTAGGTGTTCGATTTACTGCCGATGCAACAGATTCATTAGACAATCATGAAGAGAATCCACATAAATCAAGTATTCAATTTTTTCTATTTTTACTTTTAATCCTATTATTAATTATTTTTTCTAAGCTAAATTACAATGGCAAGAATGCTGTGATAATAATTGTTCCTTTGAATTATATTTTGGTATTTTAAAACTTTCTCATATTTACTCAATGACACTGGATGTTGTTTTCCTTCAAACTCCTATTCAATTAGAAACAATTCTTGATCATCAACATACACGTGGATTACAACTATCCATCAATCAATTGCCAGAATCTCATTCAGAAAATCAAACTAGTTTCGAAGTTGAACTTATAATTCATCCAGAAACTATACCTGGTCCTTTTCATCGAACATTTGTATTAAAAGAAATCTCAACATCACAACAAAAATCTGTTACAGTAAATGTAAATGGAAAAATATTACGACAAGGTCAAGGTACAGCAACATTAAAACATGGAGTTCATATGAAATCAGTAATAACGGAAGAAAAAGATGATGAACAATAACATTAGATATATATTCTGTGATTTTGAAAATAAAATTGGTGCTAAGAATTAAGAAAACTATTTGTCTGATTTTTGTTCGATTTCATGTTCCATCTACTTG